AGAGTGTAAAAAATGTCTGCATTGGGGATATAAATATACATTTACTGCTATAGATCTTTTAGTCTTTAATTTTATGGAATTCAAAATGCATATTCAATACGAATGAGTAGTTGGAAAAATCTAATTATCATTGCTAATATTAAATAGTTCATAGGGTAAATTCTGGCTTTGAAAAAAAGAATATGTTTTAGAATTCTACAGTTCATATTTAGCAGCTGTGTTGGTATATGCAAGGTTGAAATTCTTACAGCTGTAATAAATCAGTGGCAACAGGGGCTGTCACACACCTCTGCTCACAGCGAGTCCATCCAGCACATGTCACTGCCATAGAATCCCAGAAAGGTTGGGGTTGGACAGGACCCTAAAGACCACCTCATTCCATCCTTCCACTAGACCAGGTAGCTCCAAGCCTGGTCCAACCTGGCCTTGAACCTGGCCCTGTCCTGCCAAGTGTGCAGCCCCCTCAGGTCAGGCAGAGCTCACTTTTGCGTGCTGGCACCAGAGTTGCATAACTTTACTTTTTGTTATGTTTTAAAGTATTAAAGTACAGCGAAATATCAAAATCTTCCTCAACCTTTCCACCCACGAAGTCTAACAGAGTTTAGGGGGCTGTTTAAGGTTACTCAATGCACATTTGTGAACCCAAGGTTTTATCTGGCTTTGTATTTTCTCAGTGCCTCCTCAAACTCCTCCTGTGAGCACTATGGTTATCCATAAATATGGAATGAGGTGGTTGGATTTGGTTTTCATTTCATTTCACTCAGTGAAATGTATTTTAAATGGCTACCTGAGGAACTACTGAGGCTTCTGGGCCATTAAAATCAGAAGGTTGAATATTTATTTTAAGGGAAAAGATGAGGATACTCAAACACTTTGGATCAAATTGAATCCTCAGGCATGCACACTGATCTGGGAAGTCTGGAATGAGTTTGCTCCAGGGAAGTGTCAATGTTGTAAAATATTTCTGAGAGTGCAGGAATAGATGAAAATAAAGTGTTTATCCAGAGGGTAGCACAGTGCTGATCTGTACCTGGAAGCCTGAGCTGTGTTTCCTAACCTTGGTTCTGCAGAGCACTTCCCAGTGAGTGCAGCTGTGTCCGTTCTTCCTTGGGGAATGGTCTTTCCACCCCATCCTGTTTGCAGTCTCTTCTGAAGGATTTTATCTGGCCCTAAAGCTGATCCCTGCTGCTCTGGGGATTGCCTGGGTGTGAAGAAAGTCAGCATCAAATTAGTGGATGACACAGATGTTGTGGCACAGCATCGCTGCCAGCTGAAGGATTCCCAGCTGTGTAGGCAAGGCTGAACTTATGAGGGGTCAAAGTCAGAGCTAAAAAAAATAAAAACAAGAAAAAAAAACAAGAAAAACAATAAAAAACCAATAAAAACCCTAAAACCAATAAAACAATAAAAACAATAAAACAATAAAAACAATTAAAAACAATTAAACCAATTAAAAAAAAAAGGATGGAGACAGCTGTGGAGAGCGTGGTTTGATGTACATGGCTGGGAAAGATGAGGGCAGTGAATGTGGTGCTGGATCAGGCCACTCTTCCCCTACCTCCATTTGGCAGCAGCTCCTGGCATGTGTGTTCTGAGTCACCACAGCCCAAGGGTGAATCCCCTGGCACTGGCCAAGTCAACCATGGAGCAATAAACATTTTTCCATCCCCACCAATTTCCTGGTCCATGAAACTGCCCCCACTTCACTGGGGCAGCAAACTGGGCCACACAAGAGAAGCCCATGGAGGCAAAGCTGGGGAAGGGAATTGGCATGGAAGCAAACAAAGGTCACAGTGTTACTATGTGCTAAAGGACTCAAAATATCAAAAATCCCTAGCAGATAAATACCCAAAATCATTAATTTCTGTATATATACTGGGCCAAGTGCCTCCCTGGTATAAGTGCAGCATTTGTAAGGCAGCAAGGATGGGTTTAGTCCAGTGTGTTTAGATTCTTCATTATTTATACCAGATGCTTGGGGTTTTGTTTTCCTTAATGGATAATAAGGGTCATCCCAAACAGAGTTGTTACTTTGTTTGGGTTTCATTGAAAGAGACACTACTAAAGGGAGAGGAAATCCCCAAAATGATACTTGGTGATTAAGCACATAGAATATAGGATTTCAGTGTTTGCAAATCCTTTTTTTCAAATGAACTTGTGGCACTAATCCTCTAATGGCATTATTTCTTTGGAATATATGCCGGATTAAGGAGTCACAATGAGGCAAAGTACAAAAATCCACATTAATCTCTCACTGATGGATGCTGTGTGGGATGCAACTTTAACTATTTTGTTCCAAAATTGGTTCTGTTCCTAACCTTGCCCTAGGCCTAGACAGAGGGCAGAGTGGACATAAACAAGTGTGACACTGAGCACCCGGCAGATGGTCACAGACATTTAACTGGATAGAGAGGGGAAGGCATTTATTATTTTTAAACTCCAAAAGCTCAGCCTGCCCCACGCTGCCCGTGACGTGCTGCAGGAAGCAGACACAGGTCTGGGAGGCAGGAGCAGGACACCTGCTCAGGAGTGTGTCACAGAGGAGACAGACACAGCAGATAACAGGGCCTGGCTGTCATGATAGATCCTGTGTTACAGCACAGCCTGTGGCAAAGCACTGCTCGTGTTTGCAGCCCAGTGCAGCCACCTCACTCTCATTAACTGCTTTGTTTTGGGATAACCCTGTTGTCCCCTCTTCCCTCACAGCTGATGTAAAAAAGGTAAAGATTTGCTTTCTACGAAGAGGAGACCCTGTGAAACTGCATTTCCCTTCTCACTGAATTACAGGCAGTCTGTGAGGTATTGTCACTGTCACTCAACAGCCTCCAGTGATGAAAGAGTTTGTGCATGGGCAGCACATCACCTGAAACACTGATGTCAGACTGTGCAAGTTAGCCCAGCCCAACCACTGTAATTGGTGCTTAACTTGCTTAAGGATTTCCCCAGTTTCAGGGGATAGAGGTTATGAAATATTCCCATTCCACATTCTCATTGAATTGCAGTGGGCACTGAATGTCTTGGGCCAGAAGAACCTGGCACGTGTTCAAAAATACAGGTTGCTTTGTCCCTGCTTCATCCCTGGTCACTCTGTTGTTAAGCACAAGTAAAGAGCTGCCAAATCCAACAAGTCCTTTACTGACACAAGTGATTGGGATTTTCCATAGTTTTTGTAGCTAAGACACCTGAACTTGTGAAGTTAAATAGCACACAGAGAGTGATCCTTCCCAGTGGATACAGGTCTGTAATGAGATGCTAGTTTCAGAAACTGGGACAGGACAGCCACTGCTGGTGTCAGAAAACCCTAAAACCAGCTTGGAGATCCTTTCTGTTCAGGAATAGAAATGTGCCCTCCAGTCCTGCAGGGAAAGATGGTTGATCACAGTGGGTTTGTGCATTTTTCCCTGGTGTAAATGTTCCCTGGTGTGACACTTCTCATGGGTATGATGTTCCCTCTTAAGTTTTTCTGTTCTTAATCTTATCCTTTGGGTCCTCGTGCCTTATTCCACCCTGTGGGAATCATTAGTGCATTGACACACTGAGTCAGGCCTGTCCTCAGGGCTGGTGTCTGCTCAGCTGCCTGCAATGGAATCATTAGTTTTGTTTACCAGCTTTATCATTCCCCACCAAAACCACTCCAGTTCCCATATGTCTTTAGTGTGCACATATCCATGGATGACCTCTTGTGTTTAAGGAAGTATAAATTATATTGCAACAGGTGCAGACAAAGGTGAGCAGGAAATGATAAGGGAAGTTGAGAGTTTGCCACATGAGGGGAGACAAGAAGAGTTTGGCTGGTTTAGCCCACAAAAGGGAAGACCTCACAGATTGAAAAGGATTATCAAGGCTAAAGAGATTCAGCATAAATGACCATTATATGGTTAAGACAGGAATTGTAAGGTTCTCCATTGTGGAAATTAGACTTCAGGGCAGACAGACAAAAAAAAGATATAATGAAATTTAAGGCAATATAGGGTGTGTCCAATGATTGCATTGTAATGTTGTGTCATCATGTTGCCCACAAGCAGATTGCAGTGGATGATGCAGTGTGACCTCCTCCCGTGTCTCCTGTTGCCCCAAAATGAACAGGAGTGCCTGGTCCTCTGTATCCCTTTTCCTTACTGAACTGTGCAACATCCTGCTGATGGCAGGGGTCTGCTCAGCCTCCAGCACTATTCCTGACCAGTATGGACAAAAGGGGTGGGAAAACAAAGAGCTTTTCTTCAGGTAGTCTTGTAACCTGATCTATAGGGTGACTCAGCCTCTTCGAACAACAGCTGTCTCAGGGAGGTACAGTGCTTTGGGTGCAGCATCGAGGGCTGTGCTGCCACTTCCTGATTTCTGCCTTGAGAGTGATCTCAGCTGGGACATGATCAGAGAATTTGCATGGACTTCTCAACCCTCCCCAGAAAAGAGAGGCCAGGGACAGCAGGCTGACTTTGGGATACAGTGCAAAGGAATAGAGGCATTGGGGAAGAGCCCACACACGGCTTATGCAGAGCTGCTGCTGTCAAACTGATGAAGGCAGAAACTTGTGAGAGAAAACTACGTGGAAAGTTCCTCTTAAGGAGAGGAGTGGGGTTTTGTTTGCATGTCATGGCTCACCTCTCCTGCAAGCCCTGAAAGTGCTGTGAAACGTGAAAGGGATCCTCAGGAGAACCAATGGAGAAGACAGGTATGTTCTTTGTCTAAAATAATACCACTCTACAGCATGAAATCACAGCCAGGGTAAGCAGGATTGCTCTGCAGCTCAGGAGCTGTGCATGTACATCTTGGTATATTGGTTTGTATCAGCTCTGTATTTATAAAAAATACAACTGTGTCAACATATTAAGAGTCAGACTTTAAACAGTGCACCAGCTTTTTGTAACTGTAAGTGCTCTGCCCTTGAAAACTTGTATTATGGCAGAAAACTTCCAAAACAATGAGAAAATGTACATACATATATACACATCTGTATATATATACTCACATTTTTAAATACACACACACAAAGTATATGTGTTCTGTTATCAGCATGAAGGCAATGGTGGTGAATTCTCAGTGCCATTTTGAAAGAAGGTAAGCAAGAGTGAACTTTACAAAAGCTAATTCTATGTCTGCTGATCCCCTGAAAGATGACATGTTGAACTGCCAGGATAAGCAGGAAGAGGACACCCCAAACAGTTCCCCGTTTGACTTTGTTATAAAACAGTTCCAAGGAAAGAGCTGTGCTCCTGAAAAAAGGAAAGAGCAGCCTTCAGCCATCAAAAAATTCTTCAGGGGCTTTGACTTTGGGAAATCTGAAGGCAAGGACAGAAGGGAAATTGAAGAAAAAGAAATAAACAACTCTGGAGCTGATGATCAGAGTGAGAAGGAAGATCTCTCTGTAGAAGGTAATGCTGGTACAATAATGAAATATATGTGCATGTGTATATATTTTAATTTCACAGAAAATCACTTGCTTTTTTTGCTAGCCAAAATCCTGTATTTGCTCCTTACAGCTTATCTTTTAATCAGGATTTACTTCTGATTGGAACATTATCAAGGATGTACCCTCTAATTTGATAGGTGCCAAGCAAGGAGTAAGATCCATGTTGCTGAGGAGGGATAAAGCTTTTGGGTGACCTCTCCCTTGGTCTCCCATGCAAGAAGTCAGGGCTGAAGTCAGCTCATTAGTTGTAGAGCTTATTTGGTTTCCGAGCCAAGCTTTGAGCAGCAGCTTGGCCTGTTGTATTTAGGATGGGTCTCTGTCCACCCTGCTGCTAAAGCAATCTGAAGACAAGAAGAGGAGGTGGTTCCTTCCACTTGAAACTGGGGAGGGGAAGGGAAAAGGAATGAGAATTCATCATGTATGTTATTTTGCACACACAAGAATACTCTTTACAATCACACCAGGGAAAATGAGACTATTTTTAAAAAGGAGCTGGAAGATGAGGCTCAGAATTCCATCCTTGGTCCTAAGGATTTTTAGTCGGTTTGGGGAAACAGTGACAGGACAGCTCCTGAGAGTGGGATTGCTATTTTGTGTAATTTTTGGCTGCTTTTTTTTCATCTGTAGGCATTAGATGAAATTACTGATGTGTTAAAGGGTTTAGCATTGCATGTAAATGCAATTTTCCTTGCTGTACAAACTGCATAGAAGAAGGAGGTAAGTGGGTGTTGCTTTGCAAAGCCCAGAAAAGCAGGAACTCCCTTACACAGATGATGTATGAAGCTGAACACGGGTTGTCATGAAGGAAGCAGCAGGTTCACCACACAATTGCAGGGCCACTGGGTGCTGAGGGATCCAGCTCAGACTGCTGAGCAGTGTGGCTGCAGTGCAGGCACAGCAGTGGTAACACAGCTTGTGTTTCCCAAATAGCTGCAGCTCAGAGCTGTGCATGAATTTCATGTCCTTGAACTGGTGGTGCAGTTGCAAACATCCGAAGTCCCTGGCACAAGGCAGTGTGGAGAGATGCAATGGGAGATTCTTTTCTCACTCTGCATCAGGAGCTTTGTAGTGATTTGATCTATAGTGATCTTACTGCTCAGGTCAACATTGATCAAAATCAGAGCCTGGTTTACTGACAGATTTAATTCATTTCCTGAAGTCTTCCCATGGCAGCCTCAGGCAGGTTTTACACCTTTTTTAAGTACCAGAGGTAACCAGGGCCCTATTTCTCTGTTGCTCAGATGGACACTCACATCTCATTTCTGAAGCGGAGTCCCCATCTGGTGAGCAGAGATTTAACCAGTTCATGCAGAAACTGGGAAAGAAACCCAACAGCAAGAATCTTGATCTAAATAACTGTGCATTAAGTGAAGAAGATGTAACAGAGCTGGGTAAATAAACATTTTATTCAACTAATCACTTCATACCCTTCTTTAATTCTTATTTGCCTGTTCAGTTATTCACTCTTCTCTTTTCCTTCCCCTTTCCTTTATATAGGCCTGGCTTTTTTTAACATCTTATGTGGTGGTCCCAGAGAAATATTAAATAATAAATTATATAAATGATGTAATATATATAAATATAAAAACGATACAGGTCTGTGAAGCAGATGAATGTCCTTACACTCAAACTACAGATAAGAAAACTGAGGTACAAATTGTCATGGTTTTATAATGCTTTATTGGAACAGAAAACACCTTAGTATTAATATGTGTTGACATCCAGAGGGTGCAGAAACATGCAAATATGCCTTTTCTTTTCTTTCCTTGCAGCTTCTTTACTGCCATTTCTCTCAGAGCTGGAAGAGATCAGCCTGTCCTGGAATGGTTGTGTTGGTGGGACTTTGAAGGCTCTCACTGTCCATCTTCATCATGTGAACCTGTTAAAAGTCCTTCGACTTAACAACTGCAGGCTGACAGCTGAGGATGTCATCTCCTTAGGTACAGGATTTCATTTACATTTACTTCCAGACAGCTTGGGGCTAATGTAATCCATCTCATCTCTTCCTACATCCCACTCCTGCTGCTTCCACACTGGGCAATGTCAACTCCTGCTGTGAAACAGCAGAAACTTGGGCTTAGGGGTGACCTTATACCCTGAGGTACCTCTGCCGAGTTCATTCCTCAGGGTGTGAAGCTTTCACACTCAGAAGGGAACAGAATTCAGTCCTGTTTGCAGAAAATAATGTTTTCAACTTAGATCAGTATTTTTTTGGCTAGCTGTGATATCTAATGGTAGATAGAAGACCTGAAGCAGTCAGTCAGAGTAGGGTCAGCTCAGGTCTTCAAGCTGCAGGACAGATGAGAGCTCATCACAAAAACCCCAATGGTCTTTTGGAGGAGAAAAAACAGAAGTGCTGCCTCAAAACTTCATGATTTGGGTTTTTTGCAAGTCTGAGAGAAGCCCATCCCTCTGATTACTACTTTCCTTGGAGTGCCTGCACCCTGCTTTCTGCAAGACATGAGATTTAAAGGTTATAAAGATGGTATTACACACTGAGTCACCTCTGGGCCTGGAGTTTACTCTGGGTTGGATCTGTGGTTTGTATCTAAAAGAAGGACAAACTCAATCAACTATGGATTATAAAAGTTACTGTTTATTTTGCAGGTTCTAAAACTGGTCTGAGTTTAAGAGCTGGTGTTTGTTTATGTCATTCATATCCAAGCCTTTTCCAAGAAAGGTTCAGAAATAAAATTACATATATGTTGGTAGCTCAAAAGCAGGTCATGCTATCTGCTGGGGAGGAAAAATGCATTTCTCCAAAAGCTGGTGAAAATAATTGATCTATTTCTGATGAGGGTAAAATCTGTGTTTTATTTTCTATTATTTTTTCAAATTAAGTTAATTCTTTTTCAAACCCTTTTCTCATACCTTTTTTTTCCTTTTGAGTTTTATTTGCTATATTTCCAATTGACTTATTCTGCACGGTTCTGTGCTGTTTCCTTCCCATATCTGTTTATCCTCTGCTGAGACAAACACAAAACTGATCACAGGACTTGAATTTCCAGTCCAAATGTGATGCCCTTGACGTGGGGAATAACAACAGTCAGTTTGCATTGATTTTGCCTGGGATTTTGAAAATAACTTGTGTATTTAGGCCAATATTGACTGTTTGACCTTGTCCACATCTATCTGAGGAAATGTGACCTCTTGTGGATTCAGTGCATTCTGCTTAGAAATCAGTGTCTCAAATGTAACCATAATAACCTCTCCTATGAGATTGCTCAGAGCTGTGACTGTGTGAGGTGATAGGAAACCATTCCTGGAGTTATGGTCCTTTATTTATCTTCTGGGTGGAAAGTGTGTCTGGAATGCTTGTCCTAATGTCAAGCAGAAACAGGCTGTACTGCACTTCTCAACTGTACAGTTTGTTCAGTATTCAAGACTGAGGCAATAATTTAAAATAAATGCAAAAATAAAAATTAAGACAAATCCTTTTCTCTCAAACCTAAATATTCACTTACAGAAATAATTATTTTTCTATTATAAATCTTTTGTGAAGAATTAATTATGAAAACACACAGACATGAAAGGGTGTTACTATTAAAATACAGTTCTCAATTATTAGGTTGATGACAAGACTTTAGATCAAAAATTTTTGTGGGACACTTTGAAATTGCATTTGCATATGGTCTGATTAATTGATCTTTCTTGGGAATGAGTATATGCAAATATGCATCTGCCTCCCTCCTCTGCAAAGGAAGTTAGGAAGCTGGATTTTATAGTGGGATGTTAGTGTTTCAAAGAAGCACAGACCATGCTGGCAGATGCTTCAAGCCTGGAAAAGGCTGATTTTTCTGAATGTAATCAAGTACAGTGCTGTCTGCCTTGAAATCATGGGAAAGTTAGTTCAAGTCAAAACAGTGATCATCTTGCTTTCTTATGAAGTGAGTCAGAAACTCCTGTCAGACATGAAACTTTCACATTTCAGAAATAGTAGTGTGAGGAATTCTTCCCTCCCCTCCAAAGTGACCTGTGGACACAGCACAGAGGATGTTGGAAGTTTGCCAAATAAAACAGCAGAACTGTACAGGACAGTAAATTCAGACTTGTCACTTGTATTGATTTCCCTCTAGACTGGACTTTGTGGGTCCTGGCACAGGTCTACAACGATGTCCAACAGCCTGATGAGAGTTTGGGAATGTGAATAAATTTCAGGTCTTGTGTGTACTGTAACAATGACTTGTGATCTACAATGCTCCTTAGACAACGTGAGATTTTATACAACTTTGCTGCAGGAGCAACAATTCATTCAACAATTTTCCTGGCAAGACATTCAAAATAAAGTAATTTGAGAATTAAGTGGCTAACCTTCCTCTTTAATATATTTCAAACCTGTATTTTTGTTTGTACTGAAATTGATACCTAGAAGGAATCATCCCATATTTCTGTTACAGGAGAGGCATTTGAAATTGTTTCTCAGCTTGAAGAACTGGATTTGTCATGGAACAGTAACATAGGTGGAAAACTATCACTGCTGACAAAAAAATTCCAGAAAGGATGCAAGTTAAAATGTCTGAAAATTACAGATTGTAACCTGACGGCAAAGGATGGGGAATCCCTTGGTATGTGTGTCCATCTAGCTGGACTGAGACTGGCTTCACAAGAATGGAGCTTGTTTGACTTCGTTGATGGCTGCATGGGGCTCAGTATTGGTGGAAAGTTAATTTATTTCAAGCTCTGCATTAAAACAGTGTTTACGACACAATGTGGGGATTTAATGCACTTTCTTCCAAAGAAGAAAGTTGTTTTCTCTAATCATGTGAGGGAACGTTGAGGAGAACAATTAGATCTAAATCACAGTCTGACAGCCTCTGTGGTCCAGGGGTGCTGGATCCTTTGAGACCTTGAGCAAAAGAAGTGTGCCAGAATTTCCAGCACTGATTGCTTAAAATTAAGCAGCTGAATATGTAGTTATCCATGGGATGGGAAAAAAAACCTGAGAGTTGGGAATTTAGGCTGAGCTGGCAACCACTGACCACTCCTCCCATCTGTCTCTCACCACAGTTTAGTCTTGTGTGGTCTTTTTATCTGAGTTTGTGTTTTCAGAGGTGTTTTCTCTGTAAAGAGAAGCCTTTGTGCTCTCATCTCCACTGCAGGAGGAGGCCCACATGTAACATACAATACTCTATATTTTCTCTTTGTATTTTATTCTCCTGTATTTTTATAACTGTCCATGTATTTTTTCACCTTTATTTTCATACAGATTTTTCACTAATTTTTCTTGATTCCTATCCAATCTTTATTTTGCTGTATTTTGGAGGTAGAACAGGAACTTAGCAAGCCTAAACTACATGTACAGGCAAACCCAGCCCACTTCTTTCTGTCATGGTGCTGTATTTTTCTAGGGTTCATCTGTATGTACTCCAGACAATTACCAATTCTGGTTTTCCTTTCTTTTTTCTTTTTTTCCCCAGCTGAATTTCTAAATGTGATCCCAAACCTTGAAGTATTAGATCTCTCTATCAACAAACACATCGGCTGCAGCATGAAGGTTATGGCTCAGGATCTGAAAAACGTGCCAGGCTTGAAAGAGTTAAACTTGCACATGTGTGGATTAAAGCAAGACAGCCTCCAGGGCTTAGGTTAGACTTTATGTTCAGAAAGACTTTCATTCTGAATAAACTGTACATCTGAAAGCCATTTAGGAAAGGCAATGAGGTGGGATTTTGCTGATGTTTTGGCAGCATTAATGGGCAGTCGTTATTTGCTGTTTGAGGATTGATAAAAGACTACAGAGGCTTTCAGCAGGAGTCACATTTATCTGCCCTGAGCTCAAGCATGTGAAAGTCAACGGGGAGAGTCACCCTCCACACCATTTATCTGAGACACATCTCAGGCTTGATTAGTGGCTCTCTGGACATGCTTCCTCTTTCCCCAAACAGAACATAGACAAGGACACAGACAGGCCAGCTCACTTTTAACAAGATAATCCTACTCTCCCAGGGAAATCCAAATTCATCATTATCACTTAGAGAGTGCCCAGTGAAGCCATATGAAATGGGCTTGTTATCTGTGTCTCTCCCTAGTGGATGTCTCATGGATAAGGCAAAACAACTGGCATTAATTAGCACATCCATCAGCAGTTCCTGCAAAAGGCTGAGGATTGAATGGATTTGGGAGATGAGCTGGCCTCACCTTCACCTGCTCCTTCAGAGAGGAATGGAGCTGCATGGATGGGTGTACAGCTTTGCTGTATTACTGTGTGTCTGCTGTGATTACACTCTGAAGCTTAGTCTAAGAGCTTTGCCTGCAATACCTTGTGCAAACTTTGACGCTGCAGTAAATAAATGCCCAAGCTCTGACCTGGGCTGTTGTAGCGGCCAGTGACCAGCTTGCCCCCTCTCCCGTTTCAGACACTGCTTTGCAGCACCTCACAGAGCTGAGGAAATTAGACATATCGTGTAACAGAGAGATTGGTGGTGGCTTTAAAGACTCAACAGCTCATCTGGCCAGCTTGAAAAATCTGGAAGTCCTTGATCTTCACCAGTGCTGTGTCACAGAAGAGGACATGACCGTTTTGTGTAAGGACATCTTGAGGAAATTCATTAAGAATCCAGGTTTTGACTTCTGAAAATATCTCAAAGACGTAAGGAATTCTGCCTGGCAGAATAGCTGATCTCAGTACTTTTTTCATTAGGCAGTTCTGGAAGTGCAGTGTAGGGAAATAGCTTTCTTGATCAATATGGAGTGGTATCTTTGCTGAACCAAAGGAAATCTCAGAGTGTCTGATCTCATGTGGAATTAAGGACCTGAATCCACCACAATTCAGACCCACAATGGGAATGTGGGAACTGCCTCTAAGCACTGCTTTTTTTGATAATCAGTAATTTTGGAAATACCCAGGGACAGTTCCTCCACTTCTATGAATTAGATAGATCCAAGGTGTGTATGTGCATGGAAATGTAGCTGCCTAAAACTCTCCTGGTGAAGTGCACACCGAGTAGAGAGTGATTTTAGGAGTTCTGGCATTGCTGCTGCTGTGGCTTTCTCCAGGTTGAATTGATCCAACTATAAGTGCTATTGGGAAGAAAAAGGCATTTCCCAATGAATTTGTAAAACAGTTTATTTTTCTGTTTGCATTATCATAACTTTTGGACATTTTTTTTTACCCTTAACAACAACAAAATGCCATGACTCAAAGTCTATATTGCCCATATCTTCTTTTCCACAATAAAGAAGATTATTTGAAAAGTTACCTATTAAGCACTGGGAAATATTCATTATTAGTAATAGCAATCATGATTTATTTTTAATTTATTGAATAATAGAGAATAATAATATTAAGATGAAGTTTCAGTTAGCAATGAAGACATTTGGAAATAACCTCCATCTCATTTAATGTTTAATTAATGTTTCTTCACCTAGAAAATTTCCTGGAAGCCACATTCTGACAACTTTCCAAACAGTATGGAATACCTAATTTCTTGAACATTCTTACTGAAAATGACAAGGCTGTTTATGGACTAAAATATTACTCACCACGAATTTGAGTGTAAAAACTTGGCCTTGCCTTGACTTTTGGATTCACTTACAAAGAAAAGAAATTATACCAGGCAAATATACAACTACACATTTGTTGTGGATAGGTGACTGTCTAATAAATGTTTGATGTTTTCATAGCCCAGGTGATACCTTTACTCTCCAGTCTTCAAGAGCTGAATTTATCCTCGAATAAAAGTGTAGGAGTCTCATCTGATCCTCTTCTGGGCCGGCTCAGGTTTTTGCCAAAGCTGAAATCTGTGGCCATCAGCAACTGTGGTTTAGGTGAAGAGTCGCTTTCATCACTAGGTAGGAATGTTCTTTAAAGTGTGTCTATTCTCTGGGTATCCCTGTGGGACAAAGCACTTCATTCTCCTTTGGCTGATCTCCAAGGATCATGGTTACATTGTACCACAGGTCCGGAGGGAAAAAGCCTGTGGTCAAACCAGTTCCCCCTCTGTATCTGACTGGCTGAAGCCCTTTTAGTCCTTTGTCTAATAGTGAGCTTTTATATATTGCCTAATTTGGGAGGATAAAGGAACACATGATTTTGTTATGCTGTAATTATAGTTGGGATGTAACACGTCATTTGCAGTTTAGTGGGGTAAAGTTTTGACTGAGGGTTTTCCACCTCACTGAAGGTGAAAGCTTCAGCAGAAACTTTCTGGGGTAGAGTGAAGCCTGGGGCAAAAGAGGAAATTACTGCAGGAGTGGAAAAGATATTGCACAGCCATAAAGAAAAGTCCAGTCTAACATAGGATATGTAAATTCAGCCTCTTTTGCCTACTTATTGCAAATCTCAGTGGATTAGTGGCTACACTGTGCCTGTGATAGGTGTTCCATATGGCACATGAAATCTAAATACAGAGGGATCTCTCAGTTACTGTGTATGGTTCACTTATATTTTGTACTGTTTACTACTGATATTAAACCTGTAGTAAGACTTGACTGCCTCCAGCAGAAGCAGAGGGAATCAAAACTGGCCTAAAGTCCCCGCAGGAAGAGTACTATATTTATATCATTACAATTATATAAGAGTGACACCATAGAAATCAGTGTTGTCAGAAGATACAGAGCATTTCACCTTAAATAGTGAGTTCGCAGAAAAAAACCCAGTCTTTAAATTAATATAAAATGATTTAAAAGCAAGCTGTTAAATTATATTAATTCAGTGGGACAAGGACAAGCCAATAACATGAACAGAAACATAATAAACCCCTCCACAGATTCCGTGTAGAATCTATAGGCAGGCCTTTCTTATTTTCTTTTGTCTGACTTTTATTAGGATAAAAGAAGTCACTCTAAGCACAGCCTGTTGGGATCCTATTTACAGGTGAATTGCAGGTGAGGTGTCTGTTGAGGCCGTGTTGTTTTCTCTTAGTAAGCAGAAGTTGCTGCTCTTAATCTTTTTCAGCTGAGGCTGCCCTTCACCTTCCTGAACTGGAGATATTAGACCTTTCTTGGAATAAGTGCGTTGGTGGGAACCTAAAGCTGCTTTTGGGAGCACTAAAGCTTGCAGCGGAGATTCAAGTGTTAAGACTGAGCAGCTGTAACTTGGTGGCTGAAGATTTGGCACTTCTAAGTACGTATAACACGGTATTTACCTGCAGTCCAGGCATTTAGACCACAATTCAGGAGGGGCTTGTTCCTTGGGCTGAGCACGTTTTCACATAAATCAAAGGAAAAGATGGAAAACACAGCAGTATTTTCCCAGAAAGAGTTGTCATCTTGTATGTCCTGTACATGTTCAGTGCAAAAACTGGAAAGGATAAAATACAAAGAATATTTTAGCACTTTTATCTATTAATAAAAAAACCCACCAAACACAGAAAATGTAGGGTTTAAATATCTTTTTTTTATATCAGATATTTAAAGATGCCTCTGGAGACATTTTATTTTGCTCAATTTCTGTTTTAGGGTTCACTACTTTATAGAAAATGTATGTGCTGACAGCCAGTAATACAAACACTACCAACTCTCAATCCATTAAGTGTGTTCTGGAGTCAGACTACTGGGGGAGAATTAAAACAGAAATATTTTCACCCACCTCTTAGCAGCTGCTGGGAAATACAGGAAAATGGGAACATGGTAAAGGAATGAATTCTAGGATTCTTTTAAAAACTTGTTCATTTTATACTCATCTTTGTGTTCTGTGGCCCTGACTCAGGGGTTTGGCAGTAGCTGTGTGACAGCTGTTAAGGCCCTGAAATGTGAAATCTGGTGAGATGAAGCCGGAATATTTCTGACTTTAAAACCCATCACCCCTGATGGGTGTCTCCTTTACCAATCACACGTTAAGGACCCCAGTTCCCTTTAGGGTATGTTAGGCCCTCCCACAGTGAGAGGCTGCTATTTCAGCAATCCAACCTCATCTAGTTTTGCTTTCCTCTTCCTAAATCTCCCTGTAAAACCTGTCTGCCTATTTTAATTGGCATTTGGTATAACCTCCCTCCAACTGACTCCAGGGTTTTCAGGGTGCCATACCCTTTTAACTCAATAGTTCCGTTCCTTTGGAATTACCCATGTTTAAAGTGGTGTACACTCCTTCAGCTGTGAAAAAACAATCTTTCTGAGATCAGCAGCGAGTCATTTTATGTTGCTGAGGAGCTCAATCTTGCTGTTTGACTGCTGAAAAGCCTTAAATAATAAGGTATTAAAATACTACTCTCCTTTCTGAGGAGCTTTTAAAGCAATTGCCAGGATTTATTAGTTGTGTTTGTGTCTGTCATCTCTTGCAGCATCACTGACACAGGATGGCCATCTCTCCAGGTTGCAGAAGCTGGATTTGAGTTACAATGACAGCATCTCTGATGAAGGGTGGGTTGTTTTCTGTCAAGGTTTAGCAGTATCCAAGGAACTCTCGGAGCTGGATCTCAGCCTGCGCCCGTCGGCCTGCCGGGACTGCGGGACGTGGTTCAGTGAGTTGCTGGCAGCACTGGCACAGCTCCCTGCCCTGGCAGAGCTGGGCATGCAGAGATGGGTCCTTTCAGAACCCCAGAGGAAACAACTGGAAAACTTTAATCACGACAACAAAAGAAACATTCGCTTTGACTGTTGATGGAGGCGGAAGGTTTCTGGGAGGCCTTTCACGAGCAGCACACGGACCAAGTGTTATGTGTCTCTCACTTAGGAGACTACACAGTTTTTAATAATCTCTTGAAATAGTTTCACAGTTATAGAAAACTGTTATTTAACCCTCTGCATCATAGATCATTCTATTTAATAACCTATTCTTTGAGATTCTCTGGGCCATGCTGACGCCGCTATAGACACTTAATCTTCACGGTGCAGTGGGTAGTGCCCAAAGAGCAGTGCTGGACTCAGATGGACACACTGCAGGTTTGCCAGGGAAGTGGAGGGGATGTGTGTCAATGCAGGTGGGTGGGCAGCGTGAATGTGGCCTCAGAAAATGCCTCTAATGTGAAAATACTTGAAACCTCTGTGTTTTAAATTTTATTTTCTTCTCCCCCAAAACTTTTGCCTCTTTGTGAATAAATTAAATCTACATAACTGGGAGATTTGGAAACCATCCCAACAACTAAACATTATATATTAGTCCAGTAAGGAGAATACAGGAGGAGCTGTTTTGCCTCTGCTCTGGTCCTTGATGCCATCTTATAGTGTAGCTGAGTCCTGTGTACAGAATCAACATAAAATCAAGGTAAGAAACAGTTGTTCAGTGTCTTTGCAGGTCTCAGGGGCAAGGGAAATGCTGTGGTACACTAAATCAGAGACATGCCCTGCTACCTTAGCAGGATTTTGGACACAGATCAATCCATAATCATTCTGGCTAAGACTATGTAAAAATTTCAGGATACTTGAGGGATGTTCCTTCTCATCTTGAGCTGTTTCAGGCTTACCCAGACTAAGCTTTTGGAACAGACCATTTTATGACATGCAGCACAAAAACAAAATTCCATGTCTAAGAGACTGATCTAGAGCATAGGAAAGCCAGTGGGAGTCCCTGCAGTGTCTTCGTGCTTCCTGCATTCAGGATTCATCCATCAACCTTCACACCACCTTGTGACATAATGTTCTTATCCTTACCCTAGAGATGAAGGAAATAAGCAAAGTCTATTATTCCAAGCCATAGGGCAGCTCCCAGGGAGAACCCAACACCTTACTCAGTGCCCAAGACTTGTTAGAGAAAGCACTAACTTGGGATGTGTAACCAGCTCCTTTTTAATGTGATAATTACTTTTTTTTTTTTTACATTTTATTGCATTTTCTAAAACAGAGCCAAATTCTGGCAGTCATTCGTGTCATGGAGCATGTTAACCCACACGTGAGCTCCAAGACTGCAGTGGGATTATTCATCGGTAAGGTATTTTAGGAAGTAAAGATATTAGATCTGCCCACTGAGTGAGGAGTCTTAGAGAAATCCTGAGGCAGCTTGAGGGATAAAGTTCTGCTCAATTAGCTCTGAGTATCTCTACATGCTGCAGCAACCTCCTGGAGGAGAGGCACAACAGGATCAGTCAGTGGCACTTTCCTAACTTGCTAAGGCCTCTCTCACCACATTCTGTCCTGCAGATGCTGATCAGTATTCACCTTTCAGTCCACGTGATCCTTCCAACATCAGCTTCTGGCTGGTCAGGGCTATCACCAGCAGCTGACAATGCTGTGCTGATGCCTATTGATCATTTGATCCATGACTTCATGTGAAAGTCTCCCTGGATCCAGTTCCACTTGAAAAGTGCACTTGGCTTCCCCAGCTCTGAGAAATGTGAGTTGAACTGGAGTGTCTTGGTCAGAGGCAGCAGGGAATTGCTGCAGTGTGGGATCAGTTACTTCCTACACAGACCCTCAACCTCTGAAATGAACCAAAGAACCCCTGTTTCTTACAGGGCTGATGAGAGATTTTTAAGCAGTGGCTTAAGACAGGACATGTGGAAGTACCATCATCTCTGTTTAACAGCAGCACACCAACCATTTCTCTTAATTACTTGCCTTCCTGTGACTTTCCTCCCCAAATATGCCTTTGGTTCAACTGGGAAATTGATCCTTTATCTGTTCTGTGAGGATGTCTCTTAATCATTCCTTTCCCACTTAAACCTCTCTCTCCAATTAATCTTTAACATCCAGATTCTGTTGAAATCTTCCTGGACTTCAGTGTTGGGGTTTCTTACTCTGCCATAGCTGGATTCTCAGCTCCAGAGCACATTATGGACCCACTGCAGCAAACTCTCCCCTTGCTGTTCCTGATCCCCTGCTCAGTCCTTTGCCCTCTCATGATTCTGTCATACCTATTGTGCCACTAAAAAGCTTTTATTCCTTTTATCACCTCCATTAAATGTCCTATCTATCTGCCAGTCTTCCCAAAATTCTCTCTTCCAGTGATTTTCTCTAAATTATCCTTCTTTCTGTTCCTCTTTGCCTTCACTTAGGGTGAAAAAATTTCACCAGACATCTCCAAACAATCAAAGCAGCCTCAATCAAAGCAGTGAAATGGAAAATCAGAACAGAGCCGTCCCACTTTCCTGCAGTCCCAGCTCTCTCCTGCCAACAAGCATATTAATGAGATTTCAGTATCAATCAAGAGCCAAACAGAAATTAGTTCCATACCCTGGATGCAGATTCAGAGAGATGCAACTCTAGGAAGAGCTGGTCTCAGTGACCTGCCTTCACCACCTCCTTCAGGATGCACAACCTTCCCTCAGGCAACTCAGACAAGGGGAGGGAGAGCAGTTCTGACCAGCTAGTTAAACCAAATAAAGGGTTCTGCTCCCACCCACTCTGCATTTTGAACCTGCACAGTGGCAGGTCCCACACAGCTGTGCTCTGTATATGCTACAAATAAAACTCTGGAGGGGGTTAAGGAGTAATCGAGTAACACAGAATGAAAACTAGACAAGGACATCAGATGTCTGGGACAAACAGCTCTCTGTAAAGTGCTGTGGAAAGATGTGGTTGCAGATAAATTTGGCATGCAAGAAATACAGTGAGGAGTGTTTGTCATAGTTCTTTTGAATAACAAAGATGTTATGATGTGCCAGAACCAAAATCATGGCAGAATATTTTATCCTGCAGACTCACTGCTTTCATATAAATCTGTCACACAGGCATTTCACAAACTGTCACCGAGCCATCTCGGGGAAGAGATGCACCACTGAGGATGTGACAGCTTGCAGTCATTCAAAATGCTGTAACTGCAGATTGTCAAAACAGCAGTGAACAGTTTTGCAAAAGTGTGGAGATACTTTCAAAACAGCTTTTTACACCTCTGTAAGGCAGGATGGCAATGCAGGTTCTGATAGAAGTGTGTGTGTTCTGACTGCCTGGAATCGTACTCTGTATTTCCAAACAAGGAACTGATCATTTCTAGAGAAAAACTCATTAAACAACTGCTGGTAGGTGGGGCCACAGATATTGTTTCACTGTAAATATGTTTGTACCTCACTGACTGGCAAACAGATTTCTAAGAATTGCAAGTGAAATACTTTGAGATTCAGAACAAATAACACTTCATTGCACCAGATTCCTACAGGTTAGATTGATTTCCAGATTAGATTAATTTCCACCTAATCATCTACCTTTATGATTAGAGATTATATGCATTCATAATGAGACATCTCAAGAACATTTCTGAGATTGTCTGGTTCAGCTGGGGTCAATGTGGACAAAAACACAAAGCCAAACCTAAAAAAATTAATTTGTTTTCATTGTCACATTCACTGATTCAGATGCTTTAATAGTACTTGTCTCCCACTTGCTTGTCTCTGCTCACATTTGTCCATCTTGTAAAAGAAAAGAGTTCTGTGCAGTTTACTGCCCAATTTTCACTTTTTTTATGGGCTTCTCTTTTTCTTTTATTTTTCCTTCTTTCTCTCTCTCTCTTTATTTTTTTTTATTAAATTACTAAGCATCAAGAAAGTTCCAATCCCTTTCTGGTTCATCAACCCATACCACAAACTTTGGATCTGAAAAAGAGAGAACAGTCTTGTTACCTGGAGGAAAAGGGTAAAAGCAAAAAACCTTGTGGAATGGTGTCACTGATGTATATTCATGGTACAAAAAGCATTTTGTTCTTCAAAATCCCCTTTTATTCTGGATTAGACTACATTATTGGCAGCTAAGATGAACTGTCAGTCATCTGATTTTTCTCTTATTCTCTGTTTTATGTTTTTCAAGAGGAGTTTCTTACCTAGGTGGACACTAGTCCCCCATACCTTTGATTAGAAAAGTAAATGACAATGTCTACACATTTTTAAATGTCAATTTTTAGTTTGGAAGAATAGTTTGGGAAAAATAGCAGCTCACAAAGAAATTAGAATTACAGAAAGAGAGGAATAATTTAGGTTTAAAAGAATCAAAGACTGAGGAATCACCTTTCCTTCCTTATTGCCCTGTATTTTTTTAAATTCCATGTGACCCACTGATGATACAGAGCAATGTTCTTTTGGAAAAAGAAAAACAACAAACCAAACATAAAATCACACAAAGAAAAGTGTCTTGTTCAATATGTTTGCACAATGGATCTGCAAGTATCAATGAGCTGATGGCTGTGGGCAGGTACTGCAGACAATTATTCTCCATATACAGTTCCTTCAGATTCTGGAAAATACGTGTGCAGAAAGTTTAGTAAGTAAAGGATTTTTCCTTAGCTTGGTATATAAACAATGTACAGAGAATATTAGCAAGTGCAGAAGTTTATAAACTGTGAAATTGTTGGGATTATTGCTAAACACAGAGAGGCAACATGAGTTCTAAACACTGATTTCTGATATTATTCCTATTCTGACAGCCCAGGCCTGGTGCTGCACCATGTACCTAAAGAGATTAGGAGACCCTTCAGTCCTGCATTTGGAAGCAGCTGAAGTTCATGGAATTTCCATGTTGCGGCAAACCAAGATCTTCCCCCTTCTATTGCTCCTGCCTGCAATTTATTGATGGCTTCTGGCAGAGTTCTGAATTTAATTCCTTTATCTTATCCCAGTTATAATCTCTGTAATGACTCCAGGAGAAAGACTTCCTCTGGAAAGATACTGAATTGGTTTTCAGGCAGGCTAAGGCATTTGAAACTTATCAGTTCCTTCACCTCCAGAGGTATCTAGACACAGTCATTAAAAAGATACATTATGTCAATTAAGCAGTAATCTTTGGGATTTTGTTTTTAGAGGAAAAAAATCTCCCAAGAAAGTGCTGTGGAGCTGCATTACAGTTGATGGATGAACACAGAATATTCTGCTCATTAATGTCACATTATACCTCACAGTATGGTGGAAATTTTGGCAAAGAAATCCATGTTGTTTCCTCTGCTGGAAAGATTTCTTATGGGGTTAATTTTATTTCTTAGCAGAAACATTAGTCTGCTTCTTCATTTCCTTTGTGTGCACAGTGCAGGGGAGAGCAATTTAAATGAATGAAATCTGAAAGTGAGTCTTTTGCATAAATTACTACTTTGGTGAATGTAACTTTCAAGAAGAAAATTGCACCAGTGAAAAAATCCTTCTTAAAGAAGTGTTGCATTGTATAAAAAGGAAGGTGTATTCTGAGCCCTACAATGGGGATGTCCATGAATACTGTTACACTTATCATAGCACAGCTTTAGGGTGCATAATGGTTCATGATCAAACGAATAGCAAGTGTCAGTAGAGTTAAAGGCATTAATAATATCACATCCATTTTTAAATTGCCCTCTGCTCAGTTTGTGATATTGATTCTATGCAAATGCAGCTCTGATTTTCTAGTGCACACAGAAAAAAAAAAAAAAAAAAAAGATGCAAAAAGCTGCAGCAGTTCCTCCAGTCAGTGTTTCATCTTTTGATTCAACACAAAGGTCAGTGTTTCCACATTTTTGCCTTTTCCTCCCTGCCTGAGCGCTGAGATGTCAGTGATAATGAGTAACCCAGGCTCAGGTGTGTGCTGGGTGGAACTGCCTTCTCACTGTAGCAAGGAAAGGAGGCACTTGGAATGCTATTAAAGCAGTTTTCACTCAGATCTAGTATCCTGACACTGGTTAATCTGGTGAAGGACCCAGGTACAGTGCATAGTCCCACAAAAGCATGGGAAAGGGAAGGCCAGCAGCAGATGCGGTGTGAAAAATCCTCCAGGCTGCTCAGACAGTGAGCGTTCTCATTTCAGGGAGGTTCCTCAAACCTGGGGGAAGCTTTTGGGGGAAGCTGGGCTCCATTTCCCCTGCACGGGTCTGCCTCGGGTGGGTGGAGCCCACGCCCTCCTGCTCACATGGGCAGTAGTGGAGGCAGTGGGGGGATTTATTTGCTGGAAGGGGCCAGCACAAGCATCTTTGAAGTAGGGACTGATCCGTGTAACTACGAGCGGTTCTGCAAAGGCTCCTCGGAGGAGGGCAGAGCACCAACTCCATGCTCTGGGGGTGAGGTGACGAACCTCCCCTGCCCTTCCCGCAGGTCTGAGCACCCACAGGGGCTCGGGGGGCTCCTGCAGGGCCCGGGGCTGCACAGAGCAACCCCCGTCCACCCCTCCGGCTGCGGGCCGGGGCCTCCTTAGAAACGGGCTCCGTTACCAAACATTGTTCCCCTCGGAGCAGCCTGGTTACCAAATTTACTCAGCCCTTGGCCGGTCCCCGCAGGTTGACGCGGGGAGAAGGAGCAGGAGGTCATGGCTCAGGTAAGGCCTGCAGGGCTGGGGGTTCATCTGCTGTACAAGGACCCCTCTGTTAGCTCAGCTCCTGTGCCACAGCAGGTCAGAAACACCCACCAATCCACGCTTTCCCCTCATGCTTTTCCTGCCTGTATCTGTTACCCCAGTGCTGCATACCGAGAGCTGTAACCCTTTGCAGACCGAGCCCGTTTTTACTGCTATGCAGATCCCAGCACAAAGCCCGCTCCCGGTGCTGTTGCTAAGCTGCCATAACGATGCAGTAACGCTTTGTTTTGTGTTCCGGCAGCACACGTCGGTTCGCCCAGATCTTCACCTGCACTATGTGCAGGCCTGTCAAAAATCGGGCCAGCCTGAAAACCCCTTCGTTGCTCATGTGCTTCAAGAAGCTGACAAAAATGATGAAATGTAAGGCAATAACAGCGTGTTTCAGACACTTCTGAAAGCCTAAAACAGGGTAGCAGGATGAGGAATTGAACGATGAGAAAGTTCTGCAGTTTCAGGCTTAAACACAAATCAAATTTAGCATTTACTGCTGAAGTTCTGGTTTGACTCATCTTGACATCATCTTGGCAGAAGTTTGTAGCTATATATCCTTTCTGGGCAGCTTTACAAGCAGTGAAAAAAAAAAAAAGGTAAAAAATGTACAGGATGGTGCCTTTCTGTCCCTTAAAAAAAGCCAAACCGAGTGTCTAGTCATCCTAACTCCCTTCCTTTTGTCTTGCTCCTGTTTAAAAAGCCTCAGCTGCATCCAGTTAGCTTCCAGCTGGTCATGCTTCCCTGAGCTGTCTCTGAATCCTGCCAAGCTATAAACCACCCAAATTCTCTCTCATTATGTGGCTAGGTAGGGCTTTCTCTTGTGGATGCTGCTGGGGTCAAAGTTAATTTTCCTTTGGGGAAAAAAAAACCAGAAAATAAAACGGTTTGTGTTAGGTTTTGATCCTGAGAGCAGGATGGAGTAAATAAAGCAAAGGGAACAATTAAAAAGAAGATGATGAGGTAACCTCTGGGATAATCTTTATTTCCATCTGCCTTCCCCTCGTCTTGCTTATTCCTGCTTCCTGTGCAAGTGTGGTTCTTGCAGCTGTGCAGTGCCTTCAGAAAGGGCAGTGCTGAGGGACAACTTGAATCATGTTATCTGTGCTGGTGTTACCAAAGGTGTATAACCATGTGCAAGCTCCTCAGTGAGGGCAAGCACGGCCACACCTCCTGTCTGGAGAGGCAACTCATTTCTCTGTGTCATTTTCCTTCTCCTCGTGTGCTTACGTTTTTATGTTGCAGTAGATGTACGAAAGGGATCACATTAAAAATAGCTGGAAATAATCACCCAGTGCCTGTGCAGAGAGTTACAGATGATGATCTTGGAGTTCTTGCCTCTGTCTTACGCCACGCTGCATTTGTCAAAGGTAGGGTTTTTCCATGAGTGTTTAACATTGCTGTGCTAATGTAAGAAAACATGATCAGTCTTGATTTCAGTCTTAGTTCATCTTTGTTTCTTTTTGTTTAGAGATCAGTTAAATGTAGGTATGCATCTGTCACATTCCTCATTCTTCATCTTTTTCAGGTTTGGATCTTGCTTATAATGTATTGACTGATGCTGGAGCAAAGACCGTGGCAACATTCCTCCAGGTGCCAAAGTGATGGTTATCTTTCAGCAACTTGTAATTTATTTGGCCATGGAAATATTTATATGTGGTGTATTGGAGACAAGAATGCACTGGTTTGGCAAAATTCCATTGGTTTTGACTTTCACACCCCAATCCATCCTGCTAGAATCTTGGGTTGTATTCTGTGTGGAGATTTTTAATTTCTGGTAGAAAGCCATTGGATATTTGGCTAGGGTGTCCCGAGGAAAGAATGGTGGAATAAGCTACAAGGCTTTTAGGCTTACAGTTCAGATCAACAGAGGGGATAATGGTTGTGTCAAGGGCCTTTGTTTTAGCTTCTTTATCACCTGTATTAGCCTTTTTGCAGGCCTAAACCTAGGAAACTTTAATGCTGCCTTTTTATCATTGTAAACAACTGGAATACAGATGGAAAATGGTAAGCTGTCACCTGGTGCCTGTGTTCCTAGAGCTTGGGGGGTGCCATTAAATTCACAAAATGCACCTGAGCTTGACCACGTGCCTCGTTAGGTCATGCTGAGCACATGGGATCCTGGGTGGTTCCTGTAGGCCCCATGAGGACCCCCACATGCCTTTCCCTCATGATCTGACATACTCTGGCATTCTTTAACTACTTTTCCAGGTCAGGGGCTGCCTGAAATGCAGCAAAAGGACAGAGTTTTGTATGTATATCCCCTTTCTGAAAAATACAGGTGTGCTCTGGAATAAACTCTCATTGTTTCCTGCTCTGTTTGTTCCTAAGGAGAACTCCTCTCTGCAGTACCTGAACCTCATGTTTAATGACGTTGGCACAAGTGGGGCAGAGCTGATAGCAGGAGCACTTCATGTGAGTGTTTGTCTGGGAGGTTTAGACAGTGGCATCTTGTTGGATATTTTTGCTTTTGATGACCAGTACTGGCTGTCCTGCCAACATCAGAGCTGGCTCAAAGGGGCATCTGTCCTTGCTCCGTTCAGCATGTTGCTGTATCACAGGGATACAGCACAAGGTCTGCCTTGTTTTCCCAAGGCAGACCTCAGAAAGCAGATTTCACACAGGTGAAAGTTGCACTGTGCTGCCATTAACACTTAATTATCTATAAAAACAATTGTCTATAAAACCCACAGCTACTGCAGTTCGATTTTTTTCTGTGTGAAAAATGCTATGCTACAGGATATAGAATGCCATCTGGTTTTTCCCTTTCTTTTTTTCCCCCAAAAACATTGTATTAAATTTGCCTGTACCTTCATGTCAATATTTGTCTTGATTCAATCTGTCTGAGACATGTTTTCAAAACTTTGCTTTACAGCAGCAGCACAAAACCAAAGTTGTTATTTTTGATGTGGTTTCCCAAGGAAATGAGGCTTGTGTGTAAGATTTGTTGTTTTGTGAAGGAGACTCACGTGAGCTCTTTCTTCCTCCTCCACAGTCTTTGAACCCTTGAACTGATTTCAACTAAATTTGACAAACCTCCAAAACACTGAGGCTGTGCAGGAGATTTGTACAACACTGGGCTTGTACAATGCTTAACAGGTTTAAATTAGTTTGACGCACTTTGCATCTCAGATGCCAGTTTAGGCAGAAATATTTGCCTGGATTGTTTTCATGTGAAATTTGTGGACTTGGGGGAAACAAAAGTTTTCAAATACTGGAATTTTGCTTGCAGACTCTCATGTCTTTGATGCCACTGAGAAGAGCCTGAGCCAACAGGATAAGTTATCACTTAGTTATCTGTGTTGTCACTTTGACACAATTCTTCTCAAAGGTTGTTTTGTCTCTGTGTGACAACAAGCAGGATTCACACACAAAAAAGGATAGTGTTGTTTTTCAGGTAGTTTTAAAGGAATAGATTTTTTCTTTTTAATTTTATCTAGAGGAATAGAAGTCTTGTGCACATGAGAATGACTGGAAACAAAATAGGAAACCAAGGTGGGATGTTCTTTGCTTCAATGCTGCAAAGTAACTCAACCTTGCAGAAGTTGGATCTTGGAGACTGTGATCTGGTGAGTAACCCAGTAAAATTATCAGCAATGACATAAGTCTTTCAAGGGTATTACAAGGGTCCTGTAGAGCTTAATTAGGGGGGATTGCCATCTGTTGTCATTGATTTTTACATTTTGTGACAGCCAGAGGTGACACAATATATAATACAGCAGTGTGTGCTTGGAAAGGCACGTTGCACAAAGCACCTGGGAAGTCAGAACTGATGATATTTTAGAGCCATTGTGTCCCTGGGGATATAAGTGCTTGTCTTTCACATCCTCTGAGGTTTGTTTCTACTGCTCATTTCTGTTATTCCAATCCTGTGTAATTCATGTTGAAGAATGGACTTTTTGTTCCCTGGAGAATCTTTTCCTTCTGAAGTGTGCAGTGCTATAGCACCTGAAAGTCACCCATCCCATAGCTCTGTTGCTCCTCTCAGATCCATAAAGGACATAAGCACAGCAGTGCTAAATTGAGTAGAAAAGCACCAAATTTGATCTTGGATGACCTGCTTCCTCCTGGAGTCAGGCACTGAGACTTCTTACACAGTGCACAGGGAGATTCAGGAGGGTTGGAATGGCCTGTGGATCACTTTTAAAAACCTGTAATTTTTTTCCTGGAAATTCAGAATTTGCTCCTAGACTAGAGGGGGGAATAACCCCTCAGGAATTGTGAAGGTCTTATGAATACATGAACAAGAGAAGTGTAGCCAGTGTAGGATTTATTCAAAAGCTTAGTATGTGTGTTCTTGGTAGGGAGTTGATTGAGAGTTTAAAATTAAGTGGCTTTGGGTGTGGACCAACCTAATTGGAAAGTAGCATAAGTAAAAATTAGTGAGCAAACCAGAAGGAAATAAAAAAAATCCGAATTGACCCATATTCTAGAGTCTCATTTCTCTGTACCACATGATTGATACTAAATTTGAATTTACCTAGGGGAACACACATAAACTGATCTTGTTTTATAAATCAGGAAAACCAAAATACAGGATCAATTAAATGCACAAATTAAATGGATCTTTGAGATCCATTATTCTTGCTTTTTATTTTCTGAGTTGCCAAGTCATTTGAACTATTTAGTCTCATTCCACTCTACTCTTCCATAGGCAGTTGGCATTGGTATTTTCAGAAAATCTGTTAGGTGTCTCTAAGCAGTTGACTATTGTACTCCAGAGGACAGGGGGGGCAGAAATAATAGTCATGGTAATTTGGCAGCTTGAGCTATACATTAAATAGGTTTCTCTAAAGAGTTTACTTGTTTTCATTTCCAGGGCCTGAAGTGTCTGATAGCAATAGCCACAGCCCTGACTCAGAACAAATCCCTCAGAGCAATAAACCTAAATCGTCCCTTACTGTACAGCCAAGAGGTATGTGAGTGACTGTGGTGTCAGCTCAGAGAGGAGCATAAGCCAAGTCAGTGCTGATGTATTTATGGACACCTGAACTACACAGCTCTCTGGAATTTCTTGCAAACTGAAGCAAGTGGTTGCAGAAATATTCTTTCTCTTTCTGTGCAGTCACCACCTGCCCCTGTTTAACTAGAAGGTTAAATTTTAAAAAATCTCTTTCTTGGTACATTTGTTAAATAATGGGCTGATGGAGAGGGCTTGGTATTGGAGAACCAAGTATTCCTTCTGCTGTTCCAGCATGGAGTTTCCAGCATTGCTCAGCAAACTGAGGGAGAAATGCTGTTTAGCAGGAAATGAGGGGAAGTACAAAGGGCTGCTGTTTACCTGAGTCTAAAGAAGAAAAACACACTGCAGCAGCCCCCCACCTTCCCTGGGCTGGGGGCTTTGGATGTTTCACTCTGTGTGGCTGGTGCTGCTCAGCTCGTGGCTGTAGAGTGAGGGCTGTGGTGGATTCATCTGCCTGGCAGAAGTTCCCAGGTGTCAGTGATAGGAACAGTGTTCTCCTGATTGCACGAAGGCCAGATCCTCCTCAGTTCCCTAAGGTGAATTTAACAGTTTAAACAGATTTTAGTTGTTTCTTTTCTACTAAGACAGCTTTAGAAGTCAATTTAAACTACTGCTATTGAAAACAGAGGCCAGTAAGGACCTGGTCTGGATATGTCAGAGACTATTGCCACTGTTTCCACCTTCGATTCTATTATTTTCCAAGGCCTCTGGGTTGTTCCCTTATTTTTGACTCTCAGTACTCACTGTTATTTTGTTAACTAAACATGCCAACTTGAGAACAAACTTTCTTTGTCTTACAGTGACAGGACATATTTTTTCCCACAGCAGTCCTGTTTCCTTTTCATAAAATCACAGGATCATTAATGTTGGAGAAAAACAGCAGGATCATTGAGTCCAAACTTTGACCAATTCTTTCTCTTATGAAAGCATAGATTAGCATCATGACAAAATACTTTCAATGTTAGCAAAGACTGACTCAAACATTCAGGTTTTTAAGAGCAATGACTGGAAGGAAAACTGATCAGACATAATGACTAAATGTTGGTGCATCTGATATTTGCAGGGATGTAGATAGTACTCTAAATCTGCAAATATATTTCTAGTATTTTTCTTTTTTTTTTTTTTTCATCTTCAGCCTTATCACAAGATGTTGTTTCATGGCTATTTTTATACAATATACAAAATAGAACACTACTGTTGACCAAATCTTGATGTTAGTTATGTATCTCACTTGTACTGAAGCAAGACCATGCCTTATCCTAAAGTTCAGCTTAGTAAAACTGCGTGTGTGTTTGTAGGAAGAGACCACAGTCCATATAGCTAAGATGTTGAAGGGCAACTCTTCTCTCGTGGAGCTGCACTTGAGCAAGCATGAAATGAAAAACTTTGGTGTAGAGCGACTGTGTGAGGCCCTGTATGTAAACTCCAGCCTGAGATACCTTGACCTCAGCTGGTAAGAGTCATTAAGTAACATATCCATGACTAACAGAAATTAATTTTCTTAGCACCTATTTTTTTTTTAAATATGTGCATCTCTCTTTCAGTAATAAAATAACCTCCGATGGTGTAAAATTCTTGGGAGAGCTGCTAAAACGGAACCAAAGCCTGGTAATCCTGGATCTGAATGCAAACAGAATAGAAGATGTTGGAGCCACATACCTGAGTGAAGCCTTGACTGTGCACAACAGGACTCTGCAGGCGTTAGTATCTGCACAGCTTCCCCAGGGACTGCAGGTGTAGGGAACCTGGACTTGGCAGTGGCAGAACTGGCATCAAAGCTGTGTGTTTTGATGTTGATCAAAATAGGAAAGTCAGGAAGTTCCAAATATTTTGGTCTATTTTTCCTTCTTGGGGAAAGAAACCTGCGAGTGAGAGACTGGGTGGGATTTCTTTCCTAAGCTGCCAGGTGAGATGCCCCAAGACCTGTGGGACATCCTGGGGTGCTGGGGGTGAGCCCCAGGTCTGCTCAGATCTCCCACAGCTTTTCCAGTTGCTCCAAGAGGTGTTGGGGGGGAAGGCAATTAGATCTGTCAGTTCTTTCTGCATCTTTAAAGAGCAGGTCCCTGTGGGGCACAAACGAAAACAAGAGCTGCAGGCCTTCAGAATTCTGAGATAATCAGATTCCACGCAGGGATAAGGCACTATATTTGTTGATTCTGATCTTCAACACTTAGGAAAATCCTCTATTTAAGTTTGCTTCCGGGTGAACCCAGCAGAGCTGTAATCTCTCCACCAGGGCGTCTTTTGCAGCCGCGTTAAACCCTCGCGGGCAGGATGTAAAAGCTGATCAAAGGTGTTACCTGGAGCCATTAGTTTTAAGTAGCAGACTGAGGAGGTGGCGGCTCTGAGGTGCCTCTGAAAGCCTTCCAGGTTCGCTAACATAAAAATAACTGCCACTCCACAAAGATCAAAGCTTAGCCTGGATAAATGCCAAGGCTTGGGCTTCAAAGCAGACTAGAGATGAGACCTGGCCACCATGGAGCAAGTCACTGACACCAGGGAACTCAAGAGTGAACAACCTTGGCTGCATGAGCCTGGAGAAATAGAGCAAGTCATAGTCCAACTGCCTTTGGCAACCTGAGAAGGATATTATAGTAGGACTGGCCTTGATACAATTAAAGAATTGTATTATTAATGACAAATATAGAAGTTCAATATATATTATATAATAATAACATATAGAATAAGCATAAATCATAGTTAAACTCTTATTCTTAACTAAGAGATGTGAGTTCCATGGTCTGGCATGCACACTGTGTAACTGTTTTCTCTGTTTGTCAGGTTGTCACTAGTAAGCTGCAGTATAAGTGGCAAAGGACTTACAGCTCTTTCAAATGCAATCAAAGCAAACATGGTACTTTCCTACATATACATCTGGGGGAACACATTTGATGAAGATGCTTGTACGGTAAGTGTTTGTTTCTGAACTCCTCCGAGAGGGCTGGGTTTTGTTTGTTTGTTCCAATTTGTTTTTACTATCACTGGGTAGACTACAGCAATTAGTGAACAAGATACCTGATTTACTGTTTTTTTAAAAAAATAATTATAACCTGGTGGTGCTGGATTGAGACAGTGGAGATCAGCATACTGAAGTGATTGAGTACTTACTGTGTGTCATGTTGTAGAGCCTTCACTGCAGTCAAAAAGAAATTCTATCTGTCATATTCCTGTTTTCATTTTTCAGTCATTTTCAGAGTTAATTCAGATGGGTCGCCTGAGTCCCAGCTGCACAGACGTGGCCCCGTACGAGGTGGACGGGCAAGCTCAGCTGGCAGAGCTGTCCCACGGCCTCCAGAGGGAATACTACTGGGCCCCACGGCACAGGGTTGTGGCAGACAGTGCTGCCAACGCCAGCCTGGGACTTGTAGCTGTTTCAGAGTATCTGTGAGTGAGGCAGCACTCTACAGGCCTGGGCTTTGCCTGTCTGGTTTCTAGTAAAATAAATTATATCAGTGTCAGATTTGCTTCATGTTGTTTCTTCAGGTTTAAGTCTAAAAGGAATCTAAAACTGCTTGAAATGGCAAAATGATAAAATATTGAACAAATGACCTTCAAATTCAGTGCTAAATAATGCCCAGTCTGTGGAGAGTCTCTATTACTATGAAAAAGTTTACACCCAGGCAGAGCACACTGACAAAAGCTGACACCCAAGGCTGCCAGGCAGCAAATCAGACCTGCTGCAGAGCAGGATTCCTGCTGGAGCTGAGAGCTTTTGTTACCATTCTACTCCATATACTCTCTCCTTTTACTTAGTAATTGCATCCTTTGGATCTTCTTCCCATAGGGACATTTTTAAACCAAAGTAAGTCAACTTAAGCATTAAGCCATGATCATGGTGGATCTTCAAAGCTAGTGAATGGCGTTTACTGGGATATACATGGAATTTTGATTAACTTGCAGCCCGTACTTGTTTCTTGCACTACAAATAGGAACCACAACCAACCCTGGTGCCATTATTTCTTCCTATCTCTTGAAAACTGTCTAAAAACTTTTCTGTCATTATAGCCCTGTGGCAATTCCTGCACATGAGTTACATTTAATGGTAGTTAAACACTGTTTAAGGGTTTGAATGCAGACTTTGTAGAAGTTTGGGAATCACTCAGCTTGTTACCTTTTTCCATCCACTATGCTCATCCCTGCAGAAGTGACTCCATTTATGCTCCTAAATAGAAAAAGTCACCAAACAGAGTCATAGATTATCCTGCTCTCCTATCTATGAGATCCAAGCATGAGGAGAAAAAGGTAAGGAAGTTATTTTACCAATAACAGCTGAGAAGCAGCAACGCAACTTCTGCTGTTCTGACTCTGTATTATCACAGTGGGAGATGTACTGACACCCCTTCCCCAGCTGAAATGACCAAGGCAGTTGTGAGAGCTGGTGTGTGTGGAGGTTTTCTGCCGTTTGATTGCTTTTTTTTTCCTCATTGTCCCTTGCCTCCACCCCCAAACACAAATGAATCAGGCTCTGTTGCTCCAAAAAGCACCTGATATCACAATAGGCCTTAGAGGTAAGCCCAGAGCAGGTATGTTTGTCCTGCACACCTGCACAGGGCCCTCCTGACCTGCAGCCACTGTGTTGAGCACAAAGTCCATGTGACACACACTGTGAACACCCTGTTTTAGAGGGAAGCTTATATTTTAACTATTGTTAAACAGGAAGGATGGAGCAATGAGAACAAAAGTTGAGGATACACTGGATGTGGTTGTTTGAGAAGAATCTGCATGCTGTGAACATTTCTAAGTTTTTAAACAATTAGATAAGCCTGTATTGGTATTTTCCCAGTGTTGCTGCTCTGGGACATAGCAGGCTACACTCTGATAGTCTACAGAGAGGCCTCTCTACTGAGATACTGGTGACAGAATTTCTTGTCAGAAACACCACTAAAAGACTCAGATTAAGGTATTTTTTCCATATATCTTTCTTTCCTTTGTCTGGTATACGAAGTTCAGACTAATTTCAAATTAATCTTTAATTTACTTGTATGAATGACATTCATTAATCTGCCATGGTAATGGGGAACCAACTCTTCCAAGAGCAGTATTTTATTTTTAGTGATGTGGTTAAGATGGCAACAATATCATACAAAAAGTGTGTCAGGATAAATGGCACCTACTTTCAAAAGTGCTGGTGTATGTGTTTGAAATATTTGCACTCTATCTGCCCCCTTGTTTAACAGCAACATGCTCAGCCTAGAAGAGCACTCTGCATTATTGACAATACCCATAAAACCAGCTCATGTGTTACAGTTTACTTTTATATTCTCTTGTAAGTAAAGGTTGCAGAGTAATTCCTGAATTCTGTATAAACAGCTTCCTAAAAACTAAAATAATTATTTGTGCCTAACCCTGTATTGCTTAAAGAGAACTATGCCAGAGACTGCTATTGCTTTTCTTTCTCTGAAAACCAAACCTTGACATCTTGTAAGAATTTATCTTGTGTTCTTTGGAATGAGAGAATTTACACAGGCTAGAATCTTTTGCCATGTTCTAAATTATTTTAGTAGCTAAAGCAAGCATAGTCCTGCTCTGAAAACCATCCTTCCAGCTTTTAGAACTTGCTCTACTTTGCTGAAAGGCAGAATCTTTGCCCCAGTTTCAAAGGGAAGGAAAATGACTGATCCAGCTGGGCAGTGGTACAGCACAGGTCCCCTAAAGCCCACTCTGTGCTCCAAGGGCCCCCGTGGTCCTTGTTCCAGGGTGCTGTGAGGGGGGTGATGTCTGACTGTTTCCCTCTTGCTACTGGTGCAGTCATAAACAGGAGACACAAGGTGAGGGAAAATTACAAAACAAGTTTATTAAAGTCTAACATAAAACACTTCAGGCTAAATATGTACAACCCCCTCCCTTCCCAGGGGATTATAAAATTGAGAGTTGAGGTATATACAAACAACAGAGGAAAAATTGTATATACATGACATACTTTAAAAATAATTTAACCAAAAAAATCAGTTATTAGTCCTTATCTGAACTTAATTCTGCAAGGCTTATTGAGCCTCTCCGGGATCACAGCCCTGAAATCCTTCATGTGGGACTTGTCTGTACTTGAAAATTGCTCTTTAACAAACGATATCAGAAAGGTTGTCATGCTTTGTGCCCACTTATGGGCACAAATTTGGAAGTAAATGTCATACAAGGAGCTATTCTCACCTAAATATTTCCAAGCAGCCAATTCAGAGATTTCTAGATGCAGAGAAGCTATCCAGGCAAAACTTGCACCAACTTCAGTGCAAAACTGACTGAAACAACAGCTTGTGTCTTTGTCTCTAAATGACTGTTAACAGAATTATTAAAATTCCTTCTTTCCTTTTGCAAGGAGACGTCTGCCTACAAAGATTCCATGCTTTCCCATATTAATCCCTTACAGAAATGACCAATACTGTTATGAGCCTTGTACCTCCCAAATGAACCCAGAATCCCTAAGCCTAGGACTTCAGATGTGCAGCTGATTTCCATGCATCTATTGGCAAAAGGTACAGTCCAGACCTACAGCCTGAACACACCTACAAATATATTTATATATATATATACTTAAAATCTATATTCTAGTAAATGAATACAGTTTGTAGAGATCATACCTCAGCAGCTGAGATATCTTCATGAAAAATGAGGCTAAAAATCAAGATTCTCAGATGGGGACTCAAGAGTGCAGGTCACTAAATTATTGCTCCAAGACAAAACTACAAGCCTGTGTATTCTATTAAGAAAGGTTAAAATTGTTGTCTTGTAAAAAATAATGATTATCTTCTTGTCTATAAAGAAAACTAAATGACTAATAAAGCAAGTGTTACTGTTATAAGTATCTAAACAAATCCTGTATAAATCTAAGCACTGTATTTTTTAAAAAAGTCTGAAATCTAAGAATACAGTAACAAGCTATAATTTTAGAAATATAAAACCAGTCCAAACGAACATTGTTATGGAATGCATTTTCTATGTAGGAATGTAATTATTTTTTAGGTTTCTTTCCAGAGCTAGTTCTCTCTCATGGTCATTTATCCTGGACATGCTTATCTTCAGCTACTTTTCCTCAGGGAACAGCAGCATATCGTTAGTTTGTCTTCCAAACCTGTTTAGATATGGAAGTTATCAGTTGCAGGGTGTTTCTTTCTCAGTATTCATGACTAAACCTACATCTGTCCCAAGATTTCTGCTCTATTTTCAGAGAGAGAAAGTAAAGAGGAAGCTTAGGACAAGCTACACACAGAAAAGATCCCGATCTTTGGGGTTCTTCAGTCTTAAATGGCAGGGCTAAGGAATCCCTCAGGGGCTACAGCAACAACAGGAGCTAAAAAAGAAAAGAGGGGAGGAAAAAGGGAAATGCCAAAGAAACAAGAAAAAAAATACCAGAGAACTTCATCCTTTGTCTTCTGCTAGTGTTATGAACATCAGCTGTTCATAAATGTTGTGGGACAGAGAGATAAAAAAATTAAAGGTCAGGCGAGTCCAGCAATAATCAGCTCCAGTGGACAGAATGAGAAATTCCTGAATTAAGGATGTTCCCATTGAACATGGCTGTACTCCTGCTGTCCATGGCAGACTTTATCAGCAAATTTACCATATATTAAAGCATAAAATACGATCAAGCAGCAGGTTTTAAACGTGGCATATACTAAGATGGTCAACACAAAGAAGCAAAAGGTCTATTACTTTACAAGTACAAACATATAGGAAGAGAAAAATAAATCTATAGTCATGGTCAGGAGTCAGGGGATCACTCGCAGAATATTTAAAAGAAACCCTACAAGAAATTTTTCATGAGTCTGTTTAATTAAGGTGCATATTAATTATTACTCCGTGTAGAACAGGATCAGTTAAGAGGTATCTCCTATGCTCTTCTATTTATCAGTGTCTGGACACAAGGCATCAGTGGAAATAAATGCTAGCACCAAGTAAATAACCAACAAAGTACAGCTTTAAATGCATTGTTGGTACAGTATGATCACTGTTTCATTACTATTTGATGATTACTTAAATAATGCTTACATTGCTAATGGCACAAACTGGCAAAATAGAGTAGGAGAGTACTCCTAGTCTTTTATGACCCTACCAAGACACTAAAAACGTTGCTTTTTAAATATATCTGTTGCCAGGAATAAAACATATCTTTATATGGGCCTTGCTAGGTACCAGTTTTGTGCATTTACTGTGGACAAGTGACATGATAGTTAAAGCAATACACAAAAACTTCAATTAAATTAGTCACACTAACAAAATCTTCCCTGGAAGAATATCCATCTGCTCTGCTGTATTAGTCTTTAATACCCCCTCATGTAGTGTTCACTTACTATTTTCACAGTGAAGGGCAGGATTTATTTCCTCTTCTGGACCTCCTGTCTAGCACAAGAAGCAGCACTACAGTAAAAAAAGGATTATGAAGCTCTCGTTGACGCCTCACAAATTAAGTCACTGCATCTTTTTGTCTCATCTACAACATGCATGTTCCAGCTCTCCTTTTGTTGCTGTTTGTGCCAAACCCAGGGCAGTTTAGGGATGTGAACAATAAATCTGGGACAAGATATGACAATGCTGGATTGACTTAAACAAACAAAGGCAACTTGTTGGAAAGAAAACCCAGTAGTTACTATGCCATTAGGACCCTCTGACTTGCCACACTACAGAAAGAAATTAACCTTCCTTTACTCGTCTTGTCAGGAAAATACACCCAAACCTTTTTTTCCCTCTGGTCAGGCTTCACCTGCAGATGGCACTTCTGGCAGCCAGCAGCAAATCTTTGCAAGCACCTCAGCAGAGCCCTGACCGACCTTCCCCATGGACCATTCCAGCACCTTGGAGTGCAGGCTTATGAATATAGCCAAATTATGACTTTCCCTTGCATCTCTGGGTTAATATTCTTAAACTATTAAATATGGCTTAAAATATCTGTTCTCAAGTGACATTGTGACACATCAAATCAGCAGAAACATGGGAGGAGATCTCCAAGACACATTAACATACGTAACAGAGAATTCTTAAGGCAGGTGTTGCTGGAAAGGAATCGTCTCCTGGAAATCAGTGTTAATTGCAAATAGAAATCTGATTGTAGATTAGCACAATCCAGCACTGCATGATGGAAATGCCTTACAGGTGTCTTTACACAAAGGGAAAACAAAGAACAAGTCCAATTCAAAGAGCGTGACTGCTTGTTTGATCATGTGCATCTTACCAAACGTTTGCAGGTTCACTACCAAACTACTGCTCTGTCAGTACAACTGCTGCAAGAAAATGAACTGAGGTTCTGAGTATCCAGTCACAGCAGATCTCAGCAATGTTTCTGATGAAGGGGACTGGCTCCCCGTCACGGGAAGCAGCATCTGGTGGTCTTCAGTCCCAATGGGAAGAGGAAGTGCTAAAGACATCTCAGAGGGCTTCACATCTATGGACTCCGACAAAGGACTTTTCTGACTCTGAATGGATTCTTGTTCATTGAAAGAATTATCGAGTGCATTGGAATCGGGGGGAGTTTCAGGTCCTGAGGAAAAGACAAAAAAAAAAAGAGATGTTTAAAAGTTCCTGTGCAAATTCTGCAAATTCCTTCTCAACTGACTGTCAAAGCCAACACTTGGTGTGTTGCAGGCTGCCTGGACAGCTGGGATACCAGTGGCTTCCATGTGCTGGAAAGCCAGAGCAAGCTGTAAATACAGTGTAAGCACAAGGAATCACATCTGCTGCTGCTTGTAGTGTGACAACTAGAAGGATGATGCATTCCAACCTGATCTCTACTTGGCATGGTACAGGAGATAACAAATCCTTAACATCACAGTGAACAAAGGACCTTTAAAAAATGTAGTTATGAAAGTTTCCTTGAGATTTCCCACCCCAGAAAATCTCGGAACCAGAGCCACAGCCAAGCATCCTTCTCTAACTAAGGTAGCAATGTACAATGTATCATTTATCCATAAACTTCTTTGGAAGAAGATATTTGTTAACACAATTCCAGCCAGACACATTATAGATTTTAACCAGTCACTTGAGAAATGACTTTCTATTCCTAATTGAAATCTCTGTTAATGGGCTCCTCGCTACCTTCCTGTTTGAACACAGCCTGACACTGCTCTTGGATGGCTCTCAGATTAAACCACACTGGATATCTGACCCTTCCTCTTTCAATCACGCTCCAAAGCCTGTTATTTCAGTGCTGGGGCACTTCTGTCTGCCTTCTGTCTCTCCATGAGAGCTGGCCTGCCTTGGCAGCTCTCCCAGTTCACACCCTTGGGCTCTGCTGGGCCCTCTCCACACTTAATGCTGCTCTCCCCTCACCCCAGGCTTCCTGCTGCACTGGGGCCTTCCTAAATTCAAATCTGTCTCTGCACATGGCTCTTGCTTTCTCATTCTCTCTCTCCCAGTCCAGATGGGCACAGACACCTATTATTCCTCTTTCCATATGACAGAGGCAGGGATTTATGGCCAATACACAAGGATGGACAGATGAGGTGTACAGAGCCACTCCTGAACAAGGCTGGATACCTGAACATCTCTAAAGCAGTTGCTTTTGGCTTTAAAAGAGAGCTATTATCCAAAAATCTTTTATTTTCTAATTTTAGGCCTGCATGAACAAAAAGATTTATTCAGCACTGGAGGCAAAAGAGCTGATGTAGTTCCTTAACCTTTCTTTGCACAAAGAACTCACCTGCGTGAACTTTCGTTTTGTGCTTCTTTAGATTTTTTATATCCGTGTAAGAATTTCCACACATTTCACAGATAAATGGTCTTTCACCTGAAAAATATTGGTTTGGTAGTTAGAACAATCTTGACACTGAAAGAAAATACAGTTAGAGATGCAGGATAATGGATTTCAATGTTGTATTTTAAAACACAACTTTGTAGCTCTTAGTTTGTCTGTGCGTCTGTACTCAGAATAAAATTGTTTCCAGAATAACAGTTTAAAATAAAGCAAGAAGGCCTTAAAAATTTAAAGTAAAGCCTTGATCATACATCAACACCTACGCTGGTGCAAAGATACTACTCTGAAAAAGGCAATTAAAAAAAAGAATTACTTTTTTCTTTACATTATGTTAGCCCAGAGATGCATAAATTAAGAAAATCTGCTACTTTCAGGTACAGCCCAATACAGTGCATTTTAAAGGCAAAAGGGTAGAATATAATTTATAGTGCAGGAAGCAGCTTGTCCGAAAACTGACCTGTATGGGACCGAAAATGTTTATTGAGCTCTCCAGAGGAAATAAAACTCTTTTCACAAATGCCACAGATATATGGCTTCTCTCCTAAAGGAAACACAAGGACTCTGTTATTTCAATACATAAACCAGAATACACACAGAGAACAAATCAAACTGAAATGGAGCTAATGCCCAGTGGGAGAAAGAGCTCCCTAAACTGGAATCAGAGGGAAAAAACCATGAGAAAGGAACTAGATGACAACTCCAGAGGTAAATTCTGTGTCATTACCCATCTCCAACCCTTCTGCAGGATCCAGCCCTCCCTGGCCAGGCCTGTTTGTGCTCCGTCCCTTGCAGGTCCCTTCCAGCTCTGGGATTCTGTCCCCCCTTACCTGTGTGTTTCCGGGAATGGGTGATGAGTGAGCTGGAGACAGCAAAGGCTTTCCCACAGCTGTCACACACGTAGGGCTTCTCCCCGGTGTGGCGCCGGACGTGGTAGGTGAGGGTGCTGGCCTGGGCAAAGCGCTGCCCGCACCGGTCACACACGTACGGCTTCTCCCCGCTGTGCTTCCTGCAAAACAACACCCCAGTCACCTCCAGGAGGGAAGGGAAGCAGCACCCACTGCTGAGGAACCTGCCTCAGTTAGTGCTTCATCCCCAAAGCTCCTTCTGCTAATGGTCTGGGATACAGCAGAGATGTAACAACTGAGTCTGGTCTGAGCCTGCAGTTCTCGCGGAGTGAAACTCATGGCCTGTTCCATCTGGGATCAGCACACCCGTGATTTCCACGGCAGCTGAACTGAAATACGGGCCCTGCATGTGTAACATGCACCATGGGAACTCAGCATGCTTTGCATTTTAGTGAAAGACAAGATGACGATTCCCAACAAGGGAATACCATTCCTGCTTCTGCCAAAAATGCTGAAAGCCACACACAGACAGCAGCGAGAACTGCTCTGTCACTTCCCACCACGGAACTCTCTCTCCCTGGTGCTGCAACCCTGTGCCCCTGCCACAAGGATACCAGTGCACAGGCTGCAACATTCATACAGCACAAATCTCCTCCCTAATGAGCAAGTACATCCATGGAATTATTCTGTTAGGCACTGTGAGAGAAGTCCCATGAGAAAAGAGGGAGAAATGCCAAAATTATGTGAATGTGTAACTCTTGCTCACACTGGAGTAAAGGATTCTATTTAAACAGACTCAAGGACAAGCATTTGCAGGATCTCCCTCGTGCCCACCTGGCGTGAATCTTCAGGTTGCTTGAGGTTGCGAACTGCAGGTTGCAGACGTCACATTTGTAGGGTTTCTCCTCTCCGTGATGCATCCGGCTGTGGAACACCAGCTGGCACTTCTGAGCAAAGCCCTTGTCACACAGTTCACACTTGTATGGCTTCTCCCCTGGTGAAAAGGAACACACTTGTGCTCTCTGTATTTACCTAAGAAAGCTTTGCAATCCATGACCCGAGCAGAGCTCAGGTGTCTGTTCTAATACTTCACAGCGGATAACAAGACTATTTTGTAACACATTATGTTTGTGGGGAAAAAAAGGTAATAATGTTTTTAATAGTGCCACTTTCTCCACATTATTTTGAGAATGCTGCTACCATGTTTTCAGACTTTTTGCTGGTTATGTGTATTCATCACTCAAAATATTCAAGATGAACTAGTAAATCATCTGCTTTTTCTTGCCTGCCCAACTAACAAATCTATTTCATAGAAAGTCTTCAATGTACAGTCTAATGCTCACTAATTTCTTATTAGTGTCTGCTGCAGAATGCTGCAGGTACTTCTCTGACTAGTCATGTTCTCTTAGTGCTGAACAGTCTCCTGCAAGGGCTTGTGCAACTCTGCAGTCCCAGATGACAGTAAAAAATGCCTTTCTCTGCCATTCTGTGGCAGGGCACAATCAAACCACGAACTCAACAACTCACAAGCATATTGTGTACATAAAATCTTCAAAAGTAAAAGTATTAGACATCTAATGTGCCATCTAGCAACCAACACCATGGAATTCCCTGCCCACTCATGCAGAAATTCCCAGGACAATACCCTCAGAAGTACAAAGTACAGCTGACATTCCTACCAGCACCATCCCTGAATTCTGCTCACAATCAGGCTCCAGCAACTTGTTGTTCATCATCTTTTTAAGTCAGACATGTTGTTTTAAAATACTTAAGTGTTTCTAACTGATTCCTCTTTGATGCTTGATATGACACAAACCCCTGGTAACGTTACTGAACGCAACATCACACATTCCAGCTGTATTTTTACTAAATAAAATCCCAAATGCTGTAGTAATTCAGCCAACTTCTCTACTTGTTTCCGAAGACCCTAAAGGACAAGTTATGTGTAACGAGATTGCATTTTTTCCCCACTTTTGTTCTCAAACATGCATTATGTTTTGAAGTTTAAAAAAACGCAAGAGGAATTCTGGTATCAAGTACAGAAAGATTTTCATGCTCTACTGACAGTAGCTTTTGGCACTCCATCACTCTACAGAGCTAAAGCCAGCTCTTCTGAGTCTCTCCAGAAATCAAGATGCTCAGACTTATAAAGTCCTCTCTAGCTACTAAAAGTAGAAACTATGATTTTGTACTGAAAAATGCTGAAACATTTTATGCTACCAGGATATCAGTACTATCCCAACAAACAAAATTTCAGGAGGAAGAAGCGAGAATGCAAAGATCTTTCTAGTTCTGCATTCAGAGGCTGTGTGTGATTTCAGGTCTCCACAGCCCACGAGGCCAAAGTCTTACCTGTGTGAGTTCTTACATGTGTTTTCAGCTGATTGCACTGGGTGAATGCCTTCCCACACAGGTGACACACGTAGGGCTTCACCCCCTTGTGTATCCTCATGTGCCGACGGAGGCTGCTCGCCTCAGAGAACACTTTCCCACACGTGTTGCACACTGGCTTGGCTTTGGAGTACTTCTGGTCCAGCTCCTCTCCCGAGCTCTCCAGCTGGTAAGAGCCCTTGTCACTGGCTATGTTGGACATACAGTGCTCCTTCAGGGCACAGCTCTGCTGAGGCTTCCCCCGTTTCTGTTTGGCTGCCATGGTCTGGGCCAGCAGATCCTGCACTGCCAGCGTCTCGCTCTCCCCCACGGCTGCCAACTGCAGCTCGGAGTTATCACTGCCCTGGGCAGCCTGCTCTGTTATCTGGGTGGCCAGTTTGTTTGCATCTAAAAACATCTCGATGGATGTGTTCTCGGTCACATCGTTCTGATACGGGAGAGATTTATTCTCTGTGCTTTTGGGGGGGCTGAAATTCTTCTTCCGCTTTTTGGGTTGAGGCGATTTCTTTTCCAAAGCTGCTTTCTTTGCCAGGGGTTGAACCAGCTCTGCAGCAGCAGCAGCAGCAGCAGCATCTGCTTTCTCCCGATTATTGTAATCTCTGAGAGTCAGAAGGCAAGTCTGCTGATTCATTTCAACGTTCCCAGTGATACTGGATGTCTCTGTGGAAGAGGGATTAGCAATAAAAGCAAAGTCCTCCATCTTGATCTTGCATTTAGTGACCACTTCTTCCACTTTGAGATAGTCGGCAGCCTGGTGAATCTCTTTAACATTCCAGCTGCAAGGAAACAAGGCTTGGGTGAAACACTCCGGACAAAGAAAACATTTGTTCTGCACCGACTGTATCGAGCAGGGACACAGCTACGGAAAAGTTACAGTGTCAGAAAATATAACTTTGAGACCACACAGGAAGGTCTGACCTCTCAGTGCTGCAGCAACACGGGGCTCTAGAATGTCTATTCCTCCTGAGCTGAAGTCATTGTCTAGTGGGGTCTGCACACCCTCGAACTGAGGATTTTTATTTCCATTACATGCCTTTGCTGAATTTTAAGTTAAAAGTCAATTTGTAAGGTGGTGATGCTTATTGAACCAGAAAGCTCAGAAATCACAGCAGAAAGAGATAAAACACTGGAGAATAAAATGCATAAATTACCATCCCATAATCCTTCTGGCAAAAGTGTCAGGTAATTCACCAGCAGCACATTCACCTCACCAATTCTGTGAGGCAGATATTAATTTTGTTTTATAAAACAATGTGAAAAGAGTCTTAATTCTGTATCAGCTGCACACAGACACCACTAACACCAAGGAAGTCCTCATTTAAACCACTGCACTCTATTTTGCAGTTCCTGCAACACAGACCTTGATGGTTTAGAAAAAATTGATCTGGAAAAGGTGGCAACATGTACCATCAATGGGTGCCACCAAATTTATGGATTTACAGCACTTTAAAGAGAGATCAATGGTAAACAACATAATTCTAACACTCTATTACACAGTAAATGCAGTTGAACAATAAGTAACTTGCACAATTACTCTCTGTACATGAATACAACTGTTTCAGCATCTTGTACCATATGAGCACCGGGTTCAAAAAATCCAGAAACTCTCCTGCTGCAGTCCCAGGCTCCAAGAAAGCTGCACACTTCTGCTCATTTGTAACTGTCAAAGCACCAACCACTAACTCCAGCACATGGCTGTGCACTGCTCTACTGCTGGTAATGCTCGTAGCTAATTAAAGAAACACCCTGCATCTGGACTTAAATTATCGTGAGTTTTCACACTTCAGTAGAAACAAAGGGGTTTTAAGCCTGCATTTGACACCAGACACTGTGAAAGGAGTAAAAACTCTTAACTAGGTACTTCTAAGTAGCCACACTTCCCTGGTGAGGGATGATCTCCTGCTGACGGAAAAGCACTGAAAGGAATCCTCACTGTACATGGAGCAACACAACAGGCACAAATTCAACGCAGTAATGGGGGGAAACACTTTTTCTATGATTCCTTCTGGGCACTGTAATATGAGATTTTAAGTAATAGATCATGCTAATTTTAACAAATGTGATCTTTTGAAATCATGCCTATCCTCATGCATCACTCAGACTTTACTCTCTACCATGTACAGAGTTTCTGTGTGTTTTTGCAAAAAAAGACTACTGTAATTCACCTCCAGAAACAACACACTGGTCCTTCCCTCTCCTGGTAATCATGCAAGATGTTTAACCCCTTCCAACCCAGACAGAAAGAGCGGGAGACTGGAACTATCAACCAGTGAAATATCAGACAACACACCTTTGTTTTGGCACTCCCACGTGATGCAGTATTTTAAAACACGCAAACAGATGAACTTCAAGTTGTTAATATGCATCACATCCACTGTTCCTCCAGAACTTAATACAAAGAATCCAGTTCTGCCTTACCACAAAGTTTATTTCCCTACCCCCTTCCCTCCTTTAACAGCATAAATTACCTGTCAAGGTTTAAGTTTCCCGTATAAATAAATTCCAGGAGCTTTTGGAAGCCATCAGCTTTCACTTGAGTCTGATCCAGGACAACATTATTGTCGGACGCGTCTCTGTAGAAGGCCCCGAAGTACTCGCTGAAGGAGGCGAGCACGTTCCTGTGCGCTTTGAACTGGAACTCCCCGATGACCACAGTGCAGTCGCAGAGGAATCCGGCCTCTCGCTGCTTGTTCAGCCTCTCCAGCAGGTGCTCACAGTGATGGGAATACTGCATTTTGAGAACGCGCTGCAGCCGCTCTGTTCTGACCTGTGAAAGCACAAAAATAATAAAAAAAAATTATTTACGTGCAAGCTGTCACTTTGTTTTGCCCTCGGCGGAGTTAATGATTACAAAAGAGTCAGTGTCCGTGATCACCGAGGGCAGTTTGAGTAGCAG